GGGACGAAGCCGAGAATTCATTAAGTCTAAAGGCCTCTTTTTGATCTCCAAAATCCTATAAGTGAGAATTTGAGAAACTAGCACTTGGAGGAGGGGCCTAAAGGAGAGAGGGAGGAAACCCGCATACGTGGAGTTTCTTTGATCCGGTGCGTTTTAATTACCACGCTGGGCTCTTCCGGGTGGCTCTGCGGGGAGAACCGTGGAGAACAGCCCGCTTCATTGTCTGGGACTGCACCGGCGTATCTAGAGCATCGTTTACCTGTCGTTTTCTGGAATGGCCTATATACATCATTCCTGTATGTATGAAATCATGAACACAGATAAAGTCCAAAAAGAAACCCAAGGCAGTAAAATGAATTGCTGTATATCACCATTTTTGACAAATGAACTCCCTCTGAATAAGAGGTTGCTTCGTGGTAAAGTGGGACGTGGGGTTTTCCAAACGGTGAAAAGCGCTAAGGGGTAGGGTGTGCAGAACGAGTGGCTATCCAGTTCTACCCAGCATGGGCTGTGTGGGCTTGGACAACGTCCTCACCTTTCTCCCAATCAGCTTCATAGTCTACAAAATAGATCTGCCACCCACCTCACTTGACATTCTTGAGAAGCACATCGGAAGATGCATTAAGAAGCTTAGCACCAAGCACACGCAACTCTAATTCACGAACAACCCACAGCAAAAGTATCTTCCTAGTAAAACCTGAATCTCAAAAATTCCGGAGTTTGATTCATTAGAGCTAGCATGTGAAACAGTGAGATGGAAATAAATACTATACAGTTTTTCTGAGTCTTACTCACAAGATGGAGATTCCAGTTTATAAATAGTGGCTTTTTCCAAATAAAGAATCCCTTTCACTGTCCTTGCATCACGAAGTCCAGAAATAAACTCTCACACAGTTAAGACTGTTTGCTTGTTACACACCACACTCATTACTATTGATGATGTATTATTTTGGTCATAGCCTATACGTACCTTGGATTATAATCTGTCTCCCTATACATACCTTACATCATAAATCTATCTATTAATGTTTAAACACTTTCTGCATCACTGACTTTTCAAGCTTAAAACCGTATTTTAGGAATAATTCAGTCCAGGGCTCAGCAAAATCTTCGGGCCAAATCTGGCCCACCACCCGTTTTTGTAAATAAAGTTTTACTGGAACACAACCACATCCATCTGTTTGCATGTTGGCTATGGCCGCTCTCGCCCTGCAACAGCAGAAGTGAGTAACTGTAACACAGACCACATTGGATTGCAGCACCGCAAATATTTACCATATGGCCCTTGACAAGTTTTCCAACTCTTTCCCTCAGAAGAGAAACTGAGGCTGGCAATGAAACAACTCATCAAGGTGTCCCAGGGGCATCACGCCACCGTCAGGCCCAGCATGTGGGCCTGAAATGCCTTCAGCCTTACCCTCCTCCGAGGACAGCACCAGAACAGCGACCAGGGGTGAGGCTGGCCATCCAAGCTGGCAGAGTGCTTACATCAATGACCGCACTTCATGATCTCATCTTAAACATAAACAAGTAACAATGTCTCTAACCTGGGGTTGGGAGTGGGGGTGAACTTTCTGGGAGGAAGGTGGGAGAACAGCACAAAAGAGTTTACAAGCCTCCAATTTGAGTTATTTAAAGCTCCCGGTGTGTCATTCTGCACCCACTCCACTTACAGTAATGACATATTTAAACTCCCTTAGCTCAGCCCCTTGATAGCAGTCTTACCCATTGTGATTGCCACCTGAAATAAACAGTCGAGCAGCTGCCACCTTGGGCAGGATGGGAAGAGGGAGAGGAGAGAGGAATGACAGCAAGGAAACCTGAAAAGAGTGGCGCACCCTGCATGGAGGCTGTGAAAGGATGGAAAGTTCTAGACTTGGAGGAAGAGGAAGTAGGGTGCGAATTCTGGCTCTTATTACTACCTTACCTGGGTGACACGTGCTGAAACTGAACCTCCCTGACTCTGATCATCCGCCTTAGCCAGATGGGCTGGACAGTACCAATACCCGCTGTGCAGGTGAAACAGAGAGACGCATGTCCCTGGGCACACTGAAGGGCACAGACTCTCCCTGTCCTTTGCATCCTCCTGCCCAAATCCATCCTAGGAATCAATCAGCAGTTAGAATGGGGCACAGAGTTCAGATTCTATCACCGGAAAGCCTGGAGAGAAAGTCTACACCCAGCTCTACCTCTCAGAGGCCTGTGACCTTGAGTCAAAGGCACCATGCCACCAAGACCCCATTTAACAATCTAGCAATTTAGCAACATGGGGGGCATCACTACCAACCCCTTAGAGAAAAATTAAATGAGATAATGTTAGGTAAATGGTCTGGCCCAGTATCCGACACTTAGTAATAAGCACTCACGATAAATAATAAAATTACACCTTACTAATTTGCAGCTAGTTTGAAGAATAGTCCAAAACAACTCCACACAGTTAAGAATGAATGTGTGGGTGCACATGCGTGTGCGTGTGTACGAATAAACTTCATGCAAGCGTGGGTGTGTGTATTCTGTTTCCTTCAACCAGAGCATAAACTACTGAAGGACAAAGTGAGTCTGTCACTGTACCTGCTACCTCCTTTTACAACTGCGGGATGTCCTCATTGCTCCTAAGGCCCAGCACTACTATCCCCCTACTTTGATCATTCTGGATTCAAATGAGTTATGCCAAAATCCTGAGAGGTGGCGGGCCCTGCCCAAGGGGACATAAACGTAACACCAGCCACCAACCAAACGGGAAATGAGCTATTCTGAAGGCAGACCCAGACAATGCACGGAGCATATGTATGAAACAAGCTACTGAAACATGAGCAGAGTGCTATGGTTTTGATACATTCAAAAGCCTCCTTATTCCTTTAATAAAACACTTGATAAGTTTGCACATCAAAGTCCACCAATGTTACTGCAAAATTAACTGGGCAGACCCAGTTAATTCAGACCCAGCGAGTGCCAGGCCAGGGAAGATGGTTTGTGACTGCTTCCCAGACAAAAGGACAACTGTTCTCAGGGCAGCAATGGTGGCCGCCGTGGGCACAGCCAACGCTTGCTGTGTGCCTGCTAGAGGCGTACTGGGTCACAATGATAAGTGTTAATGAAAAACAACAGAAGGAGAGACAGAAACAGAGAGGGGAAGGGAGGGAGAAAGAAGGGGGGTGGTGGGAAGAAACCGAGGGCTGGGGACATGCAGAGATGTACTATGCGTTGGCAAGTAGAAGCCTGTTTGGAATATTCTAACAGCCCATCTGGGCAGCGTCAACTTCCCTGACACAAATAGGCCCACGAGATTCCAAGGCAGGTTATGGCTCGAAAAAAGAAATCCCACCTCATGTTTGCAAACACTACCCCTGGACTTGTTTTAAAAGCAGAAAGATAGCAAAGAGGGCTTACCCTCCAGAGCTTTCCATTATGCAAGCCAGACTTGTCTCATTTAATTATTTCCAATCCCTCTCCCTAGGCAGGGCGGGGCCGGGTGATGGGCAAATCCCCCTCACCACTTTAAATCAGTCTTGGAGAGAAGAGCCTTGTAACGTGCATGGTCACAAACGCGCTTAGCTGTTCTTAAGACCCAGCCGGAATGAATCGGGCCCCAGCTGACAATGCCAGGAAGGGCCCGTGGGAGGAGGCATCTCTCACAACCGACGTGGAAGGACAGTTCGGTGCATTCTGAATGCACGGCTGGGTTGGAGGAAGCCGGCTTCTCTTTGAGGCATGGTTTCCCATCCATGCCGAAATTAATACCAGAGACAAGAAAGTCTCCATTTTGAGGCTAAATAAAGGTCATGGTCCTCATCCCAGACAGCAGTTCACATACGCACACACCTGCAGACAGGGTCACAGCTGCCCGTGGCCCTGGGCAAACGAATAGAAAGCACAGGAACTTCCTCGCGGCCGGCGGGCGGCAGTGCCTCTGTGCCCATGGCAAGCACGACGGCTATCTCGGGAGGAAGCAAGTGACAGAGCTCGGCGTGGGTGCTGTGTCTTCTCAGGATGCGTCGGTAGATCCGCTGTGTCAGCCCTTTGACCGGGAAGACACAAACCTCTGCGGGAGGGGCCTGCCCCACACCTGGCTCCCAGGCAATGTCCACAGCTACTCAGAGAGGCCGGAAGCAGAGGGCCAGCGCCGCCACTCACCCGCCAGCCTTCTTGGACCTGCCAGTTCCACGGGAGCCAGAGGAAGGACACCACCCAAAAGCCAACAAGGGCCAGCGCCCCTGGGGCAACAGGGCAACCTGAGGACTGTGTAACCCTCAGGAAGAACCGACTCTCGAAGCAACTGTCCCCTCACCAACGAGAAAGAGGCTGAAATAAACTCACCACCCACAGTTACATGTCTTGTCTGTTTATCTCTGTCACACACACACACACACACACACACACCTTTTCACACTCCACTTCCTAGCTGATTTGGGGCTCTGGGGTTGGCCCCAGCCTATTCCAGCAGCAGAGCCCAGGGGATGATTTTACTGCTGTCTCCCAGACTTTCAAGGCAGAGGACGCTGACAGGTACAGGCCCAGCACTTTCCCAAGTCTCCCTGGGCATCTGACAGGGGAGGGGTCAGCTGCAAAGGGCCCCAGGGAGCCTCATCTCTCAATGCATTTTCCAGAAAGGCACAGAAGCGAGACGCCCAGTGCCCACCTGCAGGCCTCTAGCAGCTTCCGTGGAAGCCCCTGCCCTGTGAGTCACAGCCCTTCATCTCCCCGAGCTGCTGCCACCGCCAGCTCCAGGCCCAGGCCCCACGTGGCCAGCAAATGCCAGCACAACCACACTAAAAGGCCACTCTGTCTGCTCCTGCAGGCACAAGGGGCACCGTGCCCACCACACGAGCCGGACTCTTCCATCTCAGCTCCTGCTGAATTTCACTTAAATCGTGACGGCCAAGTTCAAGGACAAGACTCTCAAGGACACAACCGTGGCAGAGGCAGGGGCCACAGCTGCCACTTCTAAGGACCGATCAGGCTACTCTGGTGGGTGCCATCCAACCCCACACAGCGCTTACCTTGCCAAACTGCTCGAAATATTGCTTTACATCTTCCACTACTGTGTTCGCAGATAATCCGCCTACAAATATTTTCTTTGTTCTTGTGACCATCTGCAAGAAATGACAAGACAAAGGCATGGGTTAACCAGGTTATCTGAAGCAGTGCCCGGGAAGATGCCAAAACAAAGCACTCTCCACATTTCTCTAGGAAAGCAATTTTAGATATATTCCAGCTGCCCGGTGCGGGCCCCTTAGCTATCTAAGGATGCTGGGGACAGTCGCACTGCACATCTTAGGCGTTCAGACTGCAGCCTAAAAGCTCGTGTTTCATGCAGACACGCAGTAGACTCCAGAACCGCTCTGGCCACAACACACAGTTTCATTCTGACGTACTAGCATAAAGAGAAAAATCACACGTCGAGCTATTTTAAAGCTAAGAGATGTGAACAAAACAGAACTAAACACATAAAAACTGCTGCCCAGAAAGTACCCACAAAACCTGTCACTAAGAAATGCACAAGTAATTCAAAACTGTGTGCAGACTGTCTGTGCTGAGCTGTTTGCTGCAGGCGCTGCTCCGTGTCTGCAAGCAGCAGAGACGCCGCCCTGGCACCGGGGACCACCCTGCGAGTTCTGACCCAGCACTCCTTCCCTCCTCAGAGTCTCCAGGTTCACCCCGAGTCACCTCGCACCCCAGTCCAGCCCGGCTGATCACCAGGTCTCCGTGTCTTTGTGCCCGCAGACCCTCCCTGGAAAGTCACTCCACTCCTGAATCTTCCTCCGAGATCCAGCTACCTTCTTCAAAATGCAAAAATACTTCTCTGTCGTTGCAGCCAGGAGCTACTCCTCCCTCTTCTGAAACCCCCTAACACGGCACCCCTACTCCTCTAGGAATCCTCCACGACGCCAAGCACAGTGTCGGGTACAAACAGGCCCACGCCAAACGTGGATGCGAGAATGATCACGCGGGGCCGCATTTCAGAGTCCCGCGGGGTGCAAAGCAAAGGGAGAAGGAAGCTCAAGGATATAAACTGTGCAGGGCAGGAACCAAAAATCTTGCATGTAGGAGTGAAAAATTAAGGAACTACATTTCATTCTGGAGGCTAAGTTTAGGCTGTATGTGCTGTTTTCGTTTTACTCCTAAAATAAAAAAATTGAAAAGTTCAGTGGATGCAGCTTCTCACCAGTTTGGGTTGCATACAATAAACACACCGTGTCATCTGTCTATGTCTATCACAACTCAACGTAGGGTGCCGAAGTACAGGGGCTGTGGCTGCCTGGGTCACTGTCATCAGCAGGGCTCCTGGCACGTTTGCTGAGTGATGAATGAACCTACCCACACGGTGCTTGTGAAGATGCTCTACGAAGATCCCACCACCAGTGTGCACACGACTGAGCTCCAAGAACCTCTCCCAAACTGGTGGTACCCTATGATTGCTCCTCATGGTCTGTCCCCTTTCTCACCCATTCCTTAAGTCCCCTGGTAAACTGAGGTCACCTGCATGGTCTAACTCCATCAGACCTGACCCAGATTTATCTCTCTCCCTACATTCATGTATCACCAAATTTCACTAATTTAACTTCCCTAATGTATTCATTCAACAGATCCATTAAGTGCTAGGTGCTGGAGCTGACTTTCTAATAGAATGTGGAATTTAATCCACTATAAAATGAAGATATAATAATTAGCCGACCACACAAGGTTCCTGTTAGGACTAAATTCAATAACATATATGCCAACGTGTCTGGCAAGGTACCGGGTAGTCGCTAAATAGATGGTCACTGTGACGAAATCCAGTCAGTTACTAAATCCATCCCTCAAGTTCAGGGTAAACATGGAGCAGAAAGACACGTTATACCAAAAAGCTGTGAGAAAGCAACTCTCGCTGCCCCCTTTTCTTCCATTATAAATTCAAAAACACTTTCCTGTATCTCTACGTGAGATGGGCAAACATTCCCGATAGTTTAATTTCAGACTTTTCATTCCTCTTTTTTTTTTTTTTTTTACCCCAGCCAAGTAATTAAATACCTGCAAAGAAACACTAACATGATCTGCAAACTTGCGCGAGTGGAGTTCTCAACTTAAAGCAACTCTAGAGAACTATTTCATCACGAGTCAGGCAGGTACACAACAGGCACTATCTATTCCAAATCTCCATACGGACCCAGAGAATTCAACCAACAACGTGTCTTCGTTCCAAGTAACAGAAGTCAACAGACTGCTCATTCCCCAGTAACCAGTTAAACAGAAAGGTCTCTTCATGCCCTCCACAGTTGCCGCTTAGCTGTAAACCTGCCTAGACAGAGCCCTCAACACCGAGGCAGACACTCGGCTATAAATCTGTGCAAGTCCCAAAAAAGCCTTTAAAACACTTTTTTTTTTTTTTTTTAGAAAGATGAGAAATTCCAGGCCCCAGACAATGCACCAAAGTGTCCAAGTCACTAAAACATCCTCTCCAGGAAGCAGCTGAGATACAGTGATGGATTCCACTCTTCAGCAAACACTAAGAGGAAACGGGTTTAATCAAAACCTTCCAAACGTGAAAGGCCGGTGGGAAGACGGGCAACACTTGGTTAGCTGCTCACCGAGGTCTGGGCTTCGGGAGCGGGGAGCTCGGTTGCAGGGGGGCGACGGGGCCGTGCACAGCGACCTCTCCCGCCAGGGGCGCGCCGGGGGAATGGGAGTGATTTACTGTGGGAATCCGCGGCGTGACTGCGAAATGGACTGTGGCCCGCACAGTGATTTGCATTCTGGCCAGGGAGGCAGGAGGCAGGGGACCTTAGAGGAGGCACACATTCTTCTCTCGGTTCCTTTCCATCTCCATGGCTACTGAGGGGGGCGGGGAGGGGGGGCGGTGTTGTGTCTAGTCCCTCATGGGACTAAATGGAGGTTCCCGAATTCCCACCGATACTGTGCAAAGTCTGTGTGTACACGTGAACATGCGTGTGCATGTGTGTGTTCAGGGTAACTCCAGTCCCATCCTTCCAGTCTTGGCTTCTATTTGCCCCAGGAACCATCCAGGACTCCTGGAACGAACTTTAACCCTCTTCTGACATTGGACGCAGTGAGCAGGACAAGGAACCCACTGGCCCCAGCTCTGTACACCTGTGCATTATAAAGATTCCTCCCCACCCATCGAGGAGCCCACCTGTGTTTTCTTCCAATGCCAGGCCCTTCGCGTGGCAGTTTCCTCACCTGAACCACACAGGGCCCAGGGAAGGTGGCTGACGCACCCCACAATGCTGAGATGGCCCAACCGGCCTCCACGGTGCACCAAGATGGAAAGAGCCACTCGTGTGTTCCAAAGAGTTCAGTCCACAATCTATTAGGAAACTGATCTTAAATTTCCTTTGCTTGGAGTTTTTAGTGGAGGGTTTGCAGAAAACCCTTTGGTATGTGAGTGCTTTCCATGATTAGGGACACCAGATACCTACCCAACAGCTCTGCGACAGCCCTGCACCACATGGGGACATCCCCTTTTCCTCCCCCAACAGGGGCCCCTCCTTTTATGGTTTAGGGTGTCACTCTGGGGAAGTGGGGTGTATGTGTGTGTGGATTCTAGGAGGGGTATGGGGAGTGGTCAGGCTCTCACAAGTCAACACTGCAAAATTTTGCATCTAGACCCATAATTTAACTAAACACCGCTGCTCTCCACATACCCCTTGGCTCCACAAAGAAAACCCCAGAACCCATTCCAGTTCAGAAAATTGCTGTTTACAAGTAAGAACTGGCCAAAGCCAGCTGCTAACCAGAGCTGCAAAGAACACTCCACCTTCCTGCCTCTAAGCAGAGAGCTGGCTTTTTAAGTTTAAAATTCACTTTTAAAAAAAGCGTTTCCGTCAGAAATGGTCAGAGTGGGGCCACTGCTTACATTTTTAAAACTAGGATAAAACAAATGGGATGTGTGTGTGTATTTAAAGCAGAATGAAGTGAGGGGAGGTTAGAAACGAGAAACTACTTTTAAAAATGAGATTGAAGGGAAAACTTAGCTCCAAAAGCCGTGACTCAAAGATATTAGTTATCACACAGGAAAAAAGCAAAACAAACACCGAAAGCCCAAATATTTCTTAATCTTGACAAAGGCATGGAAAGGCAGGAAATGGCTCTGGAGGACCTTAAATGGGTATGAGAAAGGCTCAGAGATATTAAATCAGCCCTTGCTATTATCACGTCCCTTAAAAAAGTTCAGATTCCCCTTGGTGAAAAACTACGAGCCATCTTCACTGCCGGAGAACACAGCTTGTTTACAGATGCTCACGTCTGCGGGAACCCCACGGTGGAGGGAGAAAGCCCAGCAAAGATGCCAGAAATGCTAGCACTGGAAAGCTCTGACAAACCTTACAAAGCCATCATCCCCATTATGCAGATGGCAAAACCAAGTCCCAGCGAGACGACTCATGTGCTGGTCAGAGGCAAGGCAGGTAGTCAGGAGGACAGCTTCCTGGGACTAGATGAGGTTCCATCCATTACCCCACACCGTCCAGTGATATTGAAAAACCAAAGTGCTCACCAAATTCAGAAACTGGGATGAAATCGCTTGGTCTCTGTACACATGACAGTTCTTCATCATTCCGGATTTGAGGATTAAGCCCAATCTTTTTGTGGCAAAGACACCCCAGCAGGGCTATCTGAGGTCACGGCACTCCCAAATTCCAAGGCCCTGTCCTCCCGGGTGTTTTGTCCAAGGGACTTGCCCTCTAAAAGTCTTATGACTCCTCATACTTTTCCCCATCCTTCCCCCTCATGCTACCACTCCTGTCCCCACCAACACCACCACCATCACCCTCCTGAGCCCAGTCCCTGCCACTGCCGCCACCGCAACTGCCACCATCACATCTGGATCCAGTGGCAAAGCTCACCTGGCATGCAAAATGAGAACACACGTCAGGTATTGGGAACATTCTCCACGCATTTCTGTGATTGCATGTGGAAAAGAGACTGAGGGAGATTGATCAGACTCCTCATAAAATTCATGTCCACCCAGAACTTCAGAATGTGACTTTCTTTGGAAATAAGGTCTTTACAGATATAAATCAGTTAAAGATCTTGAGATGAAGCCATCCTGGATGTAGTTTGGGCCCTAAATCCAATGACTGGTATTCGTAAAAGA